GCATGCAAAGCTCTTGGTTGGTGCCTCCATAGAGGAAGAATTCGATCTGTTAGCTCTTAATGCTTCCCCAGAGCCAAGCCCTCACCTTCCTGGGCTCCCATTGCTTCTTTCCAGGTCCCTGTCTTCTATCAGAAGCAAGTTTGGGACCAGGTGCAGTGGTTCACACCTGTAATTCCAGCGCTTTGGGAGGCTGAGGCAGGAGGATCGCTTGAGCACAGGAGTTCAAGACCAGCCTGGCCAATATAGCAAGACCATATCTCTATAAAAAAGTTAAACATTAGCCAGGCATGGTAGCCTTCCTTTAGTCCCATGTACTCAGGAAGCTGAGGCAGGAGGATCACTTGAGCCCAAGAGGTCAAGGCTGCAGTGAGTCATGATCATACCACTGCACTCCAGTCTCAACTGCAGAGCGAGACCCTGTCTCTCAAAAAAAAAAGAAAGAAAGAAAAGAAAAAAGAAAAAGAAGGGAGCTTTTTGGGGACAAACTCCCCATTGGACTTGCCTCCATATAAATGTATGCCCTAGCACGGTGTGTACGCATAAAGAATGTGCATTGACCAAATGAATAAATGACCAAATGTATAATCCAAATGAATCAATGAGTGGCTGGGTACACAGGGGTGTGGAGGGCATGGGACAAGTGCTGGACACTCCACTAGGGGGCTGGGCTTTATATTCCCCTTCTGCTGCTCACTGGACTTGTGACCTTTTAGAAGTCCCTTCCCTGGGCAGCTTGGCTTTTTTTTTTTTTTTTGAGATGGAGCTTTGCTCTGTTGCCCAGGCTGGAATGAAGTGGCATGATCTCAGCTCATGGCAACCTCTGCCTCCTGGGTTCAACCGATTCTCCTGCCTCAGCCTCCCGAGTAGCTGGGACTACAGGTGCCTGCCACTACACCTGGCTAATTTTTGTACTTTTTTTTTCCACCTGCAACTGTCTTGATCAAGTTGAGATAGGGTTTCACTAGGTTGGCCAGGCTGGTCTCAAACTCCTGACCTCAGGTGATCCACCCGCCTTGCTGGGATTATAAGTGTGAGCCACCACACCCAGCCACAGCTTGGCTTTTAAAACTGTTAAGTGAGTGACAACATCCTACTCCAGGTGGGAAATGAGGCTCACATGAGATGCTATGGAAACACTCTGCAGCCCAGAGAAGGTATGTGTGTGTGAGGGACAGCACAGCTGCTGTGGCCCGCTGCCCCATATCTGCTGGGCCTCGGTGCATCACGGCCCGGAGAGCACAGTGGTGCTGCCAGCAGGCAAAGCCCCAAGAAGCAGTTGGCCACTCATTATTTCTGGGCTGCTCAGAACGTATTTGCCTGACCTTGCCCCCACCCCAAGCCCTGCTAGTGACAGGGAATGTCATGGGCCACAACTGGGCTCTCCTGTAATCACCTGAGCAGCTCGGTGGGGAGATCAGGTCATGGCCAGGAGGGATGGCAACCAGAAGAGCTCACCAGTGGCTACAGCAATGCTCTGACCCATCCCAAGCTCTGGAGAGAGAAGCAGGCAGGAATGGCCAGGACCACAAGGCAGGAGGCAACAGTCAGGGCCAGGCTTATCTCAGTCTAGTCCCTAGAATCCCTTTCCCAAAGGACCTCTCTGCTGGGCCCACTCATGAGAGCCTCTGTGGACCCATGCCAGCCAAGCGTGTGCTCCCACTCCAGGGATGGCCAAGAGGCTGAGCCACATCCTTCTTTGGGATTGATCAGCTAAATCTAAGCTAAGCTGAGCTGCTGATTCCTCTAAGTAGCTCAAAGGAGGACGATGGGAGTATTAGGGGAAAAGGAGAATCTGTGTAGCGGTGGGAGGTGGAATCCTGCAGGGGCCTGCTGTCCCTGCCCCTGACTGTGCCAGATGGAGCTGGAATAGGTGTGGGCAGGCTTGTCCTTAGGCCGTGTTGGCAATCAGGTTTATAGCTGGACCCCCTAATAGTACACAAGCTGTAGGAAGGACTAAGAAAGGAAGCACAAAAGCTCTGTCCAGGATCCTTGAAAATGTTGAGTGTGAATAGGCCAAGGTTTCTCCTCCCCCTGCAGGTGCAGGCCAGACCTGCCAGGCTCAATCCTAAAGAGCTGGGGCTTTCCCCCTGTCACCCAGGTGCCGTGGCCAGCCAGTTCCAGCAACAGAGCAGTAATGCAAAGCACACTGGGTCAGAGGTCAGGAGATAGAGGCGAGCTGGGGCTTTGCCACTAAGCTTCTGAGTGATTCAGCTCATCTGTGACCCTGCCCTGCTTGTAAGGATTCTAGGATGGCACTGATGTGATATGATTTACAAATAAACACACCTGCGGTGGTTCTTAGTAACAGTAAAGACAAGAGTTCTCGCTGAGATTGGAAAGGAGGCCCAGGGCTCCTCAGATTCACCCAGGGCTCACCCAAGGCTGAGGGGTGTGGAGGGAGAAGGTAGGGGGCCAAGTCAGCCAAACAGGGTGCACACCAGAACTAGCTGATTTCCTGTGTGACTGTGCCTTCACCATTTCACCTCTCTGAGCTTCACAATGCTAATCTTTAAAAGGTACATTATCCTGCTCAGAGTATTCTAGGTACTTTCTCTCTCTTTTTTTTTTTAAGAGATGGGGTTTCATCATATTGGCTAGGCTGTTTCGAACTCCTGATCACCTCAGGTGATCCACCCATTTTGGCCTCCTGAAGTGCTGGAATTACAGGCAGGAGCTACCATGCCCAGCTGGTACTTACCTTTTTTTTTTTTTTTTTGAGACACAGTATGGCTCTGTCACCCAGGCTGGAGTGCAGTGGTGTGATCTCGGCTCACTGCAACCTCTGCCTCCAGGTTCAAGCAGTTATTCTGCCTCAGCCTCCCAAATAGCTGAGATTACAGGTGCACACCACCCTGCCTGGCCAATTTTTGTATTTTTAGTAGAGGCAGCATTTCTCCATTTTGGCCAGGCTGGTCTCGAACTCCTGACCTCAAGTACCCATTCAGCCTCCCAGTGCCGGGAATACAGGCATGAGCCACTGCATCCCGCCACGTTCTAGGTACTTCTGTGGTTCCAAGCACATTTTCAGCTCCAGGTCCACTTTAGGACACAGAACTATAGGGTCAAGCAAAGTCATTCTGAATGTGCCCAGAGCCTGGGTAGCCTAAGTCTCAACAATCTATCAAACTGTACAGAAGCAAATCCTCATTCTTTGACTCTCTCGGGCCCAACTAGACATGAAGCTGCTGAAGTTCTAGAGATCAACTTTTCCAGCTTGCTGATAGTTGAGTAATTTTCCAGAAACAGGACTTGGCCGGTTTCCCTGCATAAGGTACCAGCCCATCCCTCTTACATAAGAAAATAAGTACTGTTTATTCCCCCAGAGGATTTAAGAAGCCAGCCCCTCCAGGGCAGGGCTCAGAAGATCCCACAGCCGCAGCCCCTGAGATCAAGGGCCTTTGGCCCAGTCTAAGTGGGAATGAATGCTCTCTGAGGGGAGGTTTAGCCCCACCAGGCATCTGGTTGAGGGGCCGGGGTGAGGACTATACCATCCCTCAAAGTACTCAAACAGATTTGTGTGTATGCAAGAGGAAGAGAGTTAGGTGGGTACAGAAGCAGTCTTAACTAGAAATATAATTACTAGGGTTTTCCTCCTTTTTTAAAAAAGACTGTCACCCAGGCTAAGTGTAGGAGTGTAATCATAGTTCACTGCAGCCTTGACCTCCCCAGCTCAGGCAATCCTCCCATCTCAGACTGCTGAGTAGCTGGGACTACAGGCACACACTATTGCCCCAGCTAATTTTTCACTTTTTGCAGAAACAGGGTCTCACAATGTTGCCCAGTTTGGCCTCAAACTCCTGGACTCAAGCTATCCTCCCACTTCAGCTTCCAAAAGTCTGGGATCACAGGCCTAACACTGTGCCCAGCTGGATTTTCTTCCTTTTTGGTACTATAAAAACACTTAAAGAGTTTTTAAACAACCCAGTGAAAGTGAATGCCCTTTTCTTATCCCCATCCCACCCCACCCTTGGGGCTAACCATTGCTAACAGCTGATGTACATCCTGTCAGATATATTGTGCAGACATATGAAAAAAAAAGGACCATACTGTGCATAACATCCTGCAAGCTGCGTTTTCCACTTAATATATTATGGGGATCTTTTCATGTCAAAACAGGAGGCACTGATTGCTCTTTTTTTTTTTTTTTTTTTGAGATGGAGTTTCACTCTTATCAACTAGGCTGGAGTGCAATGGTGCAATCTTGGCTCACTGCAACCTCCGCCTCCTGGGTTCAAGCGATTCTCCTGCCTTAGCCTCTGGAGTAGCTAGAATTACAGGTGCCAGCCAGCATGTCCGGCTAATTTTTTGTATTTTTAGTAGAGATGGGGTTTCACTATGTTGGCCAAGCTAGTCTTGAACTCCTAACCTCCTATGATCCACCTGCTTCGGCCTCCCAAAGTGCTGGGATTACAGGCGTGAGCTACCGTGCCCAGCCTTGATTATCCTTTTTAACAACAGCATGGTTTTCTAATCTATCTATTCAGTCCCCTGATGCTGGATACTTAGCTTGTCTACAATTTGTCTGCCATTATAAATAATTCTCCAAAGAATCTGGGTGGCCTTGTCCAATTATTTCCTTTGGGAAAATTCTAGAAGCAGAATCTCTGGATCAAAGGGCTTGTCTAGTTGAAGTGCTCCTGTGTGTGGAGATGGTCTCAGTTCAGCCTCCCAGCAGTGGTGCATGGTCAGGCAGGGCCTTATGCTGCCTTCGTCCCATGCCACTGTGGGCCACTTTACCTCTCCATCCCAAAACCAGACATCACCATGGGCAACTTGAGGCTACTCCCTGTCAATCTCAATCTCTAGTGACCCTTATTCTTCTTCCCCACCCTCTACATGACAAGAAAACATGTCAAAAACCCTTCTCTATGTTCCCACACCAATGCAACAGACATACTGAACAGGAGAACTTGGAGCCGTAAGCCTACAAGAATGAGGCTGTAAGTTACCGAGACCAGGGCTATTGATCCTCACCACAGCTGAGACAGAACCCTGCTTACCTGAAACATATCTCCATTGACTGTGGTCCCCATTTCCTCAGAACCAGCTGGAAAGAGAAGGAGGAGATAGCATTACTCACTGTTTAGCTTACAGCAAGCAGGAAATGATCCTACATTAGCCCCTCAAGCCAAACTCTGTGTACACCCATGTATATATTGACCTACATGCAAACAGACATAATGTATGTACACACACACACACACACACACACACTTGAACTTAGGCTCAATCCCATTCCTGTTTACAAAGCCTCTCACAGCCATAAGCTCAGGGCGGGGGCCATATGGGATAAGGAAGAGAGGGGCCTACTTGTCTCTGCCTGTCCCTGCGGCGTGAGCAGGAGTTGCAGTTCCACCAGACAGCACCTGGCATATTTTTTCTCTTTGTGCCCCTCCCAGAAGGAATTAATTTTGCCCTCAGCAGTGACTCCTCCCAGTCCCTTTCCTTGACATTTGATTAGTCAAATTCCTGGGGCTTCTGCTACAACAGTGACATTCACAGTTGGCCTCCACTCTCTCCTGCAGCTCAGCCCCAGCCAGGCCCTCACCACCTTGTGCCTGCACAACTGCTTTGCCTGCTAGGGGCAAACACCTGGGAAGGTATAACTGTGTCTCTTTCTCTTCTCCTCTGTGTTTTTCTCAGACACCTGCATGGTACCTGTGAGTTTGCAAGTGCTCGGTAACTCTTTGTTTGAATAAACAAGTAAATAAATGCAAGAAAGAAAGACAATGAATGCATGGCTTTCACCCATTCACAGGCCCCCTTGACTCCAGCCTCTCCCATCCCTCTTTCAAACCAATTGCCAGGACTGACAATCTGTAAAACATGCACTTACCTGTGCCTCTCCTCTGACTCAAAATGTCATGAAAACAAACCCCAAAGAAATCTACTTGCCATGGACCACAGTGGCCTATAGTGCCTGCTCCTGCCTCGGGGACTTTGCAGGTGCTGTTCCCTCTGCCTGGAAGGCTGCTCCCTCCCTCACTTCAGCTTCTGCTTACATGCTGCCTGATTAAAGGCCTCCCTGACCATACCCCAATCCACCCCTTGGACACCCCTTCCTATTCCTCCAGCAGTGTTAAGCACACTCACTCAGGCTGCTATGTTTATTTGTGTATGTGTTTATTATCTGTCTTCCCCCCTCAAATGGACCCTCCATGAGGGAGTGGACTTGGTTTCATCCATGATGAGGCTCACCACCTGGTGCATTCCCTGGCACATAATAGGGACTCAATAAATATTTGCCAGATGAATACATCTAACCCTGGAACACGAGGATCTCTACAATCTGGCCCTGCCCATCCCTGACTCACTTCTCATCAGCCCATCCCACAAACCCTAAATTCTGGTTTCCTCCTTCCCCAAACACACCACCCTCATCCCCGTGCTTTCTTCCTGCTTCCCTCTCTAAAGAACAATTTTTTGGGCCAGGCGTGGTGGCTCACACCTGTAATCCAAGCACTTTGGAGGCCAAGGCGGGCAGATCACCTGAGGTCAGTTCAAGATAAGCCTGGCCAACATGGTGAAACCCTGTCTCAGAAAAAAAAAAAAAAGAAAGAAAAGAAAAAAGAACGCTTTTTTGGATCCATTTATTTTCCAAGGTCCAGCTCATAAGTCACCTCCTCTGGGAAGCCCTCCTCTGCTTCCTCCACTTCCCTAGGCACTTATGGAAGGTCTCACTTCTGGGGTATCCCAGAATATCATACAGTATCCCCCACCCTCTTGTGCAATTACTCATGACTCCCAGGAGCCGTGTGTACCCCTTTACCCAGCTCTGTGTCCTTTTCAGCTCCTCAGGGCTCCAGCACGGAATGGGTGAGCAGTGACTGTCAGCTAAGTGGAAGTTGAATTGTTCTTTTGAGGCCTGCTGTTATCTGCAAGGCTCTCAGAAACTGCCGTGCCTCCTAGCAGAAAGCCATGGAGGCCACACGAGGTTATTAGGCAGATGGACAACTAGCCCTTCACCAGCCAGAGAGGGCTTTGAGCAGTAGTGACAGTGTGTTTGGCCTGGGGACTGAAGGGAAGGATGTTTAATCCCATGGAAATAATCCCTGGGTGACATAAATCATAGCTGCCTTTGTTTTCAGAGTCAAACAGTGATTGATTCCAACCAACTCTGTCAGCTGTCATCCCCATTCATTTAGATAAGGCTTCTCTGGCATGGGTGTCCTGGTCCCTAAATCAGTGAGACCAGTAGGGTCTCAGCAGCAGCATCTTCTGCAAAGGGGCTTCTTCTGCTGGGGCGTCTCCTCTAGCAGGGCCTCACGCTACTGGGATCTATTCTCTGTGATGCCAGTCTGTACGCTTGGCCTTCTCGAGAAGTTGCACCACGCCACTCTGCTCTGACCAACCCCAGTCTCAGACCCCCCATCTGCAGGCAGCGGCCTGGGGTCTAACCCGACTTCTCTCTGCCCCAGCCTCAGCCTCGAGAGTGTTCCTTTGGAGATGTGGTTCAGCCTCCTTGGGATTCCACCCACACCCACACAGAGTTCCCGGTACCTGTTCCCACAGTGCTCTCCGACCGCCCACTGCACATCTATCACCCAGAGTCCATGCTCACAGGCCGCAGGCCAGCAGAACAGGACGGAGGCAGAGACTCCTCCTGGGGATAAACCCCTGGGTGTTTGCTCCCCTCAGCTGCCTGACCCATTTTGGAACAAGGGCAGAAAGGGTCCAGAACATTCCTGTGAGCTTACTAAGCCCAGCGGGGGAAATGGGCTTGCCCAGAACTGACGGGCAAGACAGAGTCAGGCCTGGTGCTCAGAATACTGAGTGTGAAAATGGAAACCTACCCAAGGCTGATGAATGGAAACAAGGAGTCCATCACCTAGATCACCCAGGACCACGGATCCAGCCAGAGAGGAGGGGCTCCCTGTGGCTCCAGCATAGGCCCACACCAGACACCTCTTTCCCCAGGGGCACCTGAGCTCAGTGTCAGCACAGAGACTGCTAATCTGAGTACTCCAACAACTAAGAGAAGGTGCCTCAGAGGTACTGACTGGTGGCTGCTGCAAGAGCCAGCTTTTGCCCAGCTCCCAGCAGGCCACGGTGCTTTTTCTCTGCCCCATCTAGGCTCCTGGCACACATCCCTGGTCAGGGGAGGATTACCTGTTTAGCACTGCGTAGGCTGAGAAGGTCAGATCAATTCTAGCCTATCTGGCCACCCACTGAGCCGCCATCCCTCAGCACTTCCCTGCTCCCCAACCATGACTGAGGAGGGCAGTTGAACCTTTGCAGAGTCAGCAGGTATATGCCTGGGAGACCCTCAGAAGGCTGTGTCCCCAACAGCTCCCTGGAAGAAGCGAGTGTGTCGTTGTTTCTCTCCCTGACACCTCGGGTGTGAGGCCAATCTGTGCCCCACCCCTGCCAGAGATGGAACCTCCCATCCAGCCTGTAAGCCCCTGGAGCCCCGCCATCCTGGGAAGAGGCCACAGCCCACTCAACTCCCAGAGGCATCTGACTGCCCTTGGCCTGAATCCCATCTTCTCTCTCCTGGAGTTCTGAAAATGGCTCCCCTCAGCAACACCTCCCCACCAGGCATCCCTCCTCTGCCCTGCAACCCTCCTCCACCCTGTACCCCTCCCCCAACAGACCCCAGTGAGCCAGACTGAGGAAAAGGGTGGTCTCACAGAGATATGGACCAATGAATACTGGTGCATTAACTGGGGCAGGCATTTCTTAGGAATTCCCTGGGGCAGGGCAGGGCAGGATCTGTGCTGAGGTGCTGGGAGCTGCCACTTCAGAAGCCCTCCATTGCTGTCTCAGACAGGTGGCAAAAGACTCCTTGCTTCTCACCCCCACATCCTATCTCCTCCCAGGAAGGTGACTGCTACAGCATTTTTTTTTTTTTTTTTGAGACAGGATCTCATTTTGTTGCCCAGGCTGGACTACAGTAGCATGATCACGGCACACTACAACCTACCTACACCTCCTGGGCTCAAGTGATGCTCCTGTCTCAGCCTCCCAAGTAGCTGGAACTATAACTACAGCTGCATGGCACGACACATGGCTAACTTTTGCATGTTTTGTAGAGATGGGGTTTCACCATGTTGCCCAGGCTCCACAGCATTTGAAAGAGCATGGAGCCCAGAGTTGAGAGGCCTGGGATCGAGTCCTAGATCTGTCACACCTGGCTGTGTGACTCTAGGTAAGATACTCAAATTCTCTGGGCCACGAGTTTCCTGCATGTTACAAAAGCCTGGTTACATTTCTAATATCAAGGAGATACAGAGTTGCTTCAAACTTCTCAGCCACAAGAACTGTCATACTCATTTCTGTATCCCCAGTGACCTGGAATACAGTAGGTGCTCAGCAAATGCTGAATGAATACAAACATGACTCTGAAGAGCCTTGTAAACATCATTAACCAAAATATATCTATTTGTATATAAGTCAGCACTTATTACAACAAAACCTCTCCATAAACCTTTCCAAAGTGACATTAACAGTAAGGCCTGTTTCGGATGCACGCATAAGGTGATACCTACTTTTTTACTAAATATTTTACAAAATCATTCTTGCTAGCCAGAACCAGAGCAGGAACATCATTGAAAAGATGATCTCCTCGCACCATTGCACTCCAGCCTGGGTAACAAGAGCGAAACTCTGTCTCAAAAAAAAAAAGAAAAGAAAAAGAAAAGATGATCTTCCAGGACCAGGCCCTGAACTCTGAGGTCTGAAGCCAAACACAAGAAATCATAATAGCCCTGGACCACCTTTGGAAAACCATTGAGTCAGCAACCACAAAACCCTGCAGGGCTGGACCGCATCTGACCAATGCCTCATTGCAACCCACACCCCCGTGTCTAACTCAGAGCCAGACACTTGGAAGGCAGTGTGGTCAGGTGGAGAGGGCTTTGAGTCTGACAGAAACAGGTTTAAATTCACGGCCAGGTGCAGTGTCTCACATCTGTAATCCCAACACTTTGGGAGGAAGAAGTGGGAGGTTTGCTTGAGCCTAGGAGTTCAAGACCAGCCTGGGCCACATAGCAAGACTCCATCTCAAAAAAGGAAAAGGAAAAAATATATATATAAAAGAAATAGGCCCGGCGCGGTGGCTCAAGCCTGTAATCCCAGCACTTTGGGAGGCCGAGGCGTGTGGATCACGAGGTCAAGAGACCCAGACCATCCTGGTCAACATGGCGAAACCCCGTCTCTACTAAAAATACAAAAAATTAGCTGGGCATGGTGGCGCATGCCTGTAATCCCAGCTACTCAGGAGGCTGAGGCAGGAGAATTGCCTGAACCCAGGAGCCTGAGGTTGCCGTGAGTCGAGATCGCGCCATTGCACTCCAGCCTGGGTAACAAGAGCGAAACTCCGTCTCAAAAAAAGAAAAGAAAAGAAAAGAAAAAGAAACAGGTTTAAATTCTTGATCTGCCACTACTAGTTATTTCAATAGCTTATGCCTTTGAGCCTCAGTTTTACCATCTCTGAAATGGGTTCAATAACGAGTATGAAGTGATTAAATGTAATCAAGGCACTTAGCTCACTGGCTGCCGAAAGGCAGGTGGTCCCTGGGGAAGGTTAGTGAGTTCCCACAGCACCCAGGGTCCCCCTTTTTTTCCCAGCTGCAGGAGAGAGCTAAGGCTGAGGGGCCAGGAGGCTGTGTTCTGCCCACACCTGCACACTTAGCTGGGAGCCTGGGACAGCCAGGCTATTACGAAGCTCAGGAAGGACTCCGAAAACTGACCCGGGGTTGGATTCCAGAGCCCGGCAGCGGGGAAGCTGGCCTGGGGATGAAATGTCATGACCGAATTCCTGTCCCGGGAGTCGCTGGATCCACAGCCCAGGCGAGGCCTCATCCCAGTTCGGAGGTCCTACGTGGAGATCTCTAAGAAGATTTCTCCCCACGTCCCCCCCAGCTCCTGCCCCAGCTGGCCTAGAGCAGGCCCTCTTCCCTGTGCCGCAGGGCCCCGGCTGGGGTCCCCCGGGTGCGCGCCCCGAGCCCCGCTCCAGGCCCCGCGCTGACTCACCCCCACTCGCGGGGCCCGTCTGCGGGGGGGCCGCATGGCCGCCGGCAGGTGCTCCAAAGCCCTCGTCGTTCTCTATGCCTGCGATCTCGCTCTCCTGCTGGGCCAGGAAGGCGGCCGCCGGGTCCTCCTCCGCCGCCTCCGGGGCCCCGCTCTCCGACGACGAGAAGAAGCCAAAGTCATCAGCCATTTTCCCCGCGCCTCCGCCGGAGCCTCCGCTGCGCTCGGCTCTGCCCGCGCCTGCCCCGCGCTGCGCCCGGCGGCCGCGACGCTGTCACCCGAGCCGCGGGGAGCCGGCGTCGGCGGGGACGGGCTTGGCGCGGACCACACTTCCTCTCCGCCACCGGGCCCGGCTCGCTGTCACTGCGGTGCTGGCGCCGCGGCAGGAGGAGCGGGGCCGGAATGCGGTGACGTCACTGAGGGGGGCGGGGCGCAGGGCCGGGAGGTCTCCAAGCAGTGACCGCAGGAGGGCGCAGCAGGCCTGGGCGCAGCGCGGGGCCGGGACCGGCGGGGGCGGCGCTCCCCTCCCTCCGCGGCGGCGCCCAGCTGCGCCTGTCCAGGACACCTGGGCGATGCACAGCTCACGCCAGGTCTGGAGGCGAAACGCAGGGCACAAAGTGGCCGTACCGTGCACAGGGCCGCGACAGGCGGCCAGCCCTGGCCCCGGGAGCGCAGACCTGGCTGCTGATTCATTCTGCAAAAGTTTCTGGGATGTCAAGCACCTCATTCTGAGTCTCTGCCTCCGTAAGAGGAGAAGAATTGAGACTGCGAAAGCCTGCTCCGCACCTTTTCATGCAAGTCCAGGTCGTTTTCCACTAGGCCGTGTTGCTTTGCGCATTTTTTTGTGTGTCTCCTTTAAGGAGGCTTCAGCTCATACGACCAGAGTTTGGATGGCCTGGCTGAGCCCCTGCTTAGAAACTGGGCCCCTTAAATGTCCTTTAGGTATGAACCAGCCTGAGAAAGGTAGACCTGGTTTACCCAGGCAGCCTGCCACTCTCCACGCTGCCCCCTGCCCTCCGCGAAGAGGCTCTGAACGCTTCCTCCCTGCCTGCGCTTTGCCAAGCACCAGGACAGCAACGTTTTGTAAAATCCAGCCTTGGCCTTGGGGAGATTATAATCCAGTGAGACAACAGATGGCAAATGGTCCGTCAAAGCACTGTGTGTGAGGTGCTGTGACATTTAAACACGGGGTACACGGAGACGATGCCAAGAAACATCATGGGATTTGGGCTGTCTGCTATTTCTAATGTGGGACTTAAAGGGCAACCATGAAATATGGACTGGAGGAGAGAAAGGAAAGATGTGCCCAAAGCTGGGGGTGGAAGTGGAGGTAGGGTGAAGGAAAGAAACTTCCAGAGTTTTTTGGTTTTTTTCTTTTCAATATTTTTACTTAGAGATGGCCTCGCTGTATTAACTGGGCTGGTCTTGAACTGCTGGGCTCTAAGGATCTTCCTGCCTTGGTCTCCCTAAGTACTGGGATTACAGGTGTCAACCACCAAGCCCAGCTGGAACTTGCAGTTTACTTGGTAATACTTTGAGCACCTTTTGATGTTAAAGTGGTTTTTTAAAATTGGTTTATTTAATTAAATGTATTTATTTATTGCTGTCCATTTGCATGGGTTTTTGTTGTTGCTGTTGTTTGGTTTTTGTTTTGAGACAGGATCTCACTCTTGCCCAGGCTAGAGTGAAGTGGCACAATTATAGCTCACTACAGCCTCAACTCTTGGGCTCAGTGATCCTCTCAGCTCAGCCTTCCAAAGTGCTGGGATTACAGGCATGAGTCACTGCACCTGGCCTTTTTGATGTTATTGTAAATGGAAGTTTTACCTTCTTTTTTGATTGCTTATTGTTAATGCATAGAAATTTAATTTTTGTGCATTGCCTTTGCGTCCTGCTGCTTTACTGAATTCATTCATTACTGCTAACTTTTTTTTGTGGAATATTTAGGGATTTTTACATATAAGAGTTTACCAGCCAGTGCCATGGTTTATACCTGTAATCCCAGCACTTTGGGAGGGTGAATAGATTGAGTCCAGGAATTTGAGACCAGTCTGGACAACCTGGAACAACCCCATCAGTACTAAAACTACAAAAAAATTATCCAGGCATGGTGGTATGGCACCTGTAGTCCCAGTTACTCAGGAGGCTGAGGTGGGAGAATCACCTGAGCCCAGGAAGTCAAGGTTGCAGTGAGCCATGATTGTGTTAGAGGCAATGTGAACCAGAGCAACTCCTTCTTAAACAGGAGCTGGGTAAAATGAGGCTGAAACCTACTGGGATGCATTCCCAGACCGTTAGGTGTTCTAAGTCACCGGATAACATAGAAGGTCAGCACAAGATATAGGTCATAAAGACCTTGCTGATAAACGGGTTGCAGTAAAGGAGCCTGCCAAAACCTGCCAAAATCAAGATGGCGATGAGAATGACCTCTGGTTATCTTCACTGCTACACTCCCACAGCGCCATGACAGTTTACGAGTGCCATGGCAACCTCAGGAAGTTACCCTGTATGGTCTAAAAAGGGAAGGCATGAATAATCCATGCCTTGTTTAGCATATCATCAAGAAATAACCACGAAAATACACAACCAGCAGCCTTGGGGCTGCTCTGTCTATGGAGTAACCATTCTTTTATTCCTTTACTCTCTTAATAAACTTGTTTTCACTTTTCACCGGGGACTCACCCTGCATTCTTTCTTGCTCGAGATCCAAGGACCATCTCTTGGAGTTTGGATTGGGAGCCCTGTCCTCTAACAATCATACCACTGTATTCCAGCCTGGGAAATGAAAGTGAGATTTATTATTTATTCAAAAGTAAATAAATAATAGGCTGGGTGGGGGTGGCTCATGCCCGTAATCCCAACATTTTGGGAGGACAAAGTGGGCAGACTACCTGAGATTGGGAGTTCCAGACCAACCTGACCAACATGGAGAAACCCCGTCTCTACTAAAAATACAAAATTAGTCAGGCATGGTGGAGCATGCTTGTAATCCCAGCTACTCGGGAGCCTGAGGCAGGAGAATCACTTGAACCCGGGAGGCTAGTTGTGGGGAGCTGAGATCGCGCTATTGCACTCCAGCCTGGGCAACAAGAACGAAACTCAGTCTCAAAAATAAATAAATAAATAAAATAAACAAATATCACAACATCTGCAAACAGAGATACTTCTTCCTTTCTAACCTGGGTTCCTTTTTTTTCTTTTTCTTGCCTAATTTCCCTGGCTAGGATTTCCAGTACTACATGGAATAGATGTAGCAAAAGTGGACATCCTTCAGTACAAGTTGTCTGAATCAAACTGGAATCACTTATGCCAAACTCTAACAAAATTGATTCAAGAGGCCATAATGAAGGGACTGGGCATGGTGGCTCACACCTGTAATCCCAACACTTTGGGAGGCTGAGGCGGGCAGATAACCTGAGGTCAGGAGTTTGAGACCAACCTGACCAACATGGTAAAACCCCGTCTCTACGAAAATACAAAATTAGCCGGGCATGGTGACACACACCTGTAATCCTAACTACTCAGGTGGCTGAGGCAGGAGAATCACTTGAACCTGGGAGGCAGAGGTTGCAGTGAGTTGAGATCGCACCATTATACTTCAGCCTGGGCAACAAGAGGGAAACTCCATCTCAAAAAAAAAAAAAAAACAGAAAACCAACAACAAAAAACAAGGACTGTCTGAAACCACAGTCTTGCACAAAGGCCGTCATAGCCATGCACAAAGAATACTTCTGCAAGGACACCTGCCTGGCAATTGCCTGTTCAATCTTGGACTAATGCCACCTTTGTTATCAATCCTTGTAGCCAAGGATAATTGTTTCAAAACAACTTACGTAACCTCCTCATTTCGCCTTTAAAACCCCTTTCCTTTCTTTTCCTCTCTGGGTGGCCTCCATGGTTCACCATGGCACATGTATTCCCTGGGATGCTACTGTAAACCAAAAAGTATCTGGGGCAGGTCTCAATCAGTTTAGAGGTTTATTTTGCCAAGGTTGTGGGTGTACCCAAGAAAAAGAGACACGAGACACAGTAGGATTTGTGGCTGTAATTTTTTCCAAAGAAGATTTTGAAGACTTCGTTATTTAAAGGGGGAAAAGTGGGCAGGAAGGGAAAAAAGAAAGAAAAAAAAGGGAAGATAGACAAATGAGATAAGTCCTTGCATTATTTTGAAGCTTTGATTAGTGCTCACTGAATCCACATGTTCCATGTGAAAAGGACTTGAGGAATAGTCAGTTACATATGCATCTTGCAGTCAGTAAATCTGTCCATAATATAAACACAGAGTAGAGAAAGAGGTCAAATGTGAATTTATTTGAGGAGGCTGTGGAGGGATGATTCTAGTCTCTTTTTGTTCTGTCCCTGTGAAGATAAGCTGCTAATTTACACTGTCAGGGTGAGGGAGGCCACCTGGGGAGTCATAAAAAGAAAAGGCAGTTTTTTTGTGTGGCTGTTTCCAAGCTTAACTTCTTTTGAATAGTGAGTTTGGGTTCCCAACATTTTATTTTCCTTTCACACAATCTGATGGGGTGTGGCTGTGTCCCCTCTCAAATCTTATCTTGAATTCCCACATGTTGTGGGAGGGACTGGATGGGAGGTAACTGAATCAAGGGGCAAGTCTTTCCTGTGCTGTTCTTGTGGCAGTGAATAAATGTCACAAGAGCGGATGGTTTTATAAAAAAAAGAGTTCCAGCCGGGCGCAGTGGCTCATGCCTGTAATCCCAGCACTTTGGGAGGCTGAGGCAGGTGGATCACGATGTCAAGAGATCGAGACCATCCTGGTTAACATGGTGAAACCCCGTCTCTACTAAAAATACAAAAAATTAGCTGGGCGTGGTGGTGCGTGCCTGTAATCCCAGCTACTCGGGAGGCTGAGGCAGGAGAATTGCCTGAACCCAGGAGGCGGAGGTTGCGGTGAGCCGAGATCGCACCATTGCACTCCAGCCTGGGTAACAGGAGTGAAACTCCTTCTCAAAAAAAAAAAAAAAAAAAAGGAGTTCCCCTGCACAAGGGTTTCTTTTTTTGCCTGCTGCCATCCATGTAAGATGTGACTTGCTCCTCCTTGCCTTCCGCTATGATTGTGTACCTCCCCAGCCACTTGGAACTATAAGTCCATTAAACCTCTTTATTTTGTAAATTGCCCAGTTTCAAGTATGTCTTTGTCAGTAGTATGAAAACAGACTAATACATAAATCTTCATTCATTCCCAAGTAATCTCATTTTTCCTTAGAGCCACTCTCTTTGTTGTTATTTTAGGTTGATACTCTCCTTGCTCCTGATCCTAGTGGAAGAGCTTTCAGTCTTCCACCATGGAGTATGATGTTTGCTGTGGATTTCTTTTCTTTTTTATAGAGCTGGGTCTCACTGTGTTGCCCAAGTTGGTCTCAAACTCTTGGCCTTAACTGGTGCTTCTGACTCTGTCTCCAAAAAAGTGTTGG